CTTTATTTTTGTTTTCTGATCTGGTTTTTGTTGTTTATTGTTTCTCTATCTAGCCTTCCTATGGGTAATTCAAATATATTATAGACTATAACTTTTAAATATTTATAGAGTTTTATTTGTTTATCTGTCTATGTATTTATTTTGGTACCAGAGATTAAACCCAGGGATGCTTAACCATTGAGCCACATCCCTAGCCCTAGTTTGTATTTTATTTATAGACAGCATCTTGCTGTGTTACTTAGTGCCTCACTTTTGCTGAACTTGCAATCCTTCTGCCTCAGCCTCCTGATCTGCTAGGATTACAGGCATGCACTGACCGGTGGTTTTTTGTTGGAATTTGGACAGTTCCGATATTATTTTGTCAGATCTGGATAATATGAAATGTAAAAAAAATGTGAAAAGACTTACATGTTCATGGATTGGGAGAATTAATATTATTAAAATGCCCATACTAAAAGTGATCTACAGATTTAGTGTAACTCCCATCAAAATACCAATGACTTTTCTTTACAGAACTAGAATAAACAACCCTAAAATTTATATGGAAGCATAAAAAGACCCAACAGCAATCCTAAGCAAAAAGAACAATGCTGGCAGCATTGATATCAAGACATACTACGGAGCCACAGTAACAAAAAGAGCATGGCATTGGCATAAAGACATACAGAGACCAGTGCAACAGAATAGAGGATCCAGAAAAATTCATGCATTTTCAGCCAACTGGTTTTTGACAAAGGTGTCAAAAATATACACTGGAGAAAGGACAGCCTCTTTAATAAATGGTGCTTGGGAAAATTGGATATTCACATTTAGAAGATTGAAATTAGGCCCCAATCTAACTCTGAACAAAAATGAACTCAAATTGGATCAAAGACCTTATTGTAAGATCTGAAGCCACTAAAAGGAAACAGAGGAAACACTTCAAGATATTGGCACAGGCAACAATTTCCTGGATAGGAATCCAAAAGCAAGGCAAATGCATAAAACAAATGGGCTTATATCAAACTAAAAAGCTTCTGCACACAAAGGTACAGAGTGAAGCAATAACTTAGAGATTGGGAGAAAATCTTTGCCAGCTATTTATCTGACAGAGAATTAATATCCAGAATGTAAATAACTCAGAAAACTTAACATCAAAAGAGGTAATCCAATACAAAATGGGGAAAAGATTTCAACAGACATTTCTCAAAAGAAGAAATGCAGATGGCTGAAAAATATAAAAATGTTTGATATCTTAATACATTTGGGCAATGCAAATCAAAACTATAATTAGATTCCATCTCACTCTAATTAGAGTGGCTATTATTAAAAAAACCAAAAAGCAAATGCTAGTCAGGTTGAGGTTATAAAGAAAGAGGAACTGGTATGTACTGTTGATTTGAATGAAATTTGTATAGTTACTATGGAAAACAGTGTGGAGATTCCTCAAGAAACTAAAAACTACCATATGATCCAGTTTTTCCATTCCTGAGTTTATGTCTGAAGAAAATGAAGTCAGTTTACAAAAGAGTTACCTGCATACCTATGTTTATTATAGCACTGTTCACAAGAGCTAAGTTATAGAGTCAGCCCAGGTGCCCATCAACAGAAGAATGGATAAATAAAAAAGATATATGTAAAATGGATTATTATTCAGCCACAAAGAATAATGAAATTCTGTCATTTGTAGGAAATTGGATGGAGTGGAGGATATTGTGTTAAGCAAAATAAAGCAGATTCAGAAAAACAAGTATCGGACTTTCACATGTAGAAGTTTAAAAAAGAAAAAAAAAAAAGAGACCTGAAAGTAGAAGAGGGACTGGGGGCTGAAAGAGAGGAGGGGGAGAGAGCTGAGGGGAGAGAGCATGCAGAAGGCTGGATGGACATGACCAAGGCATAATATACACATGTGTGAAAACATCACAGTGAATCCCTTTAATGTATAATTAATATGTGTTTAAATTAACCTTTGTTGACACCACTCTGGCAACAGTGAAATCCAGGTTCCCCGCATGGCCTCTGTTGATACCTAGGGGAAAGAGGCTGCTTATTGCTAGGCAGAGATGGGCAGTTTATTGCCTTAATAATGCAGGGGGAGGGGATGGCACATTACTGCCCTGTAGCTCCCCACTGGGCCTCCTGTCTCACTACTCCACAGGGTGGGAGGTAGAGGGCAAGCCACTCGCTGCAAGGCGAGAGTGGGTAAATAGGTTCTTCACTGGGCCTTTGTTGGTGGGTCTGTGGTAAGTATAGTTTTTTGTTTTTGTAGGTTTTCTTTTTTTAGTACTGGGTACTGAATCATGGAGCCACATCCCTAGCCCTTTTTTGTATTTTATTTTTAGTCAGGCCCTCACAAAGTTGCTGAGGTTGGCTTTGAACTTGTGATCCTCCTGCCTCAGCTTCCTGAGCTCCCGCTGGGTTACGGGGTGTGTACCACCACACCTGGCAGAGTGCAGTCCACTCCTCCCCCTCCACCCCGTGGTGTTGGACTAGAATAGAGGGTTGTTTATCTTAAAATTTTCTGATTTGCTAAACTGTACCTTTTCGAGGTTTGTTGTTGTGATGACTTTTTTGGGGGGTAGTGGTGGATATCTCTGCCCATTGTTGTTTCTGGTTGCTAGTTTCTCCCACACAAAGTCTGGGATGTGTGATGCAAAAAGAAAACCCACCAAACTCATATTCCTCAAGGCCCAAGGTCCAAACCAGGCTGTCATCTCCTCTCCACCTTTCAGAATCTGCATATTTATTACATATATAATACTCAGGGTTTGTAAATTGTATCTCATGGGAAGAGTTGGAAAATTCTTCTACCTCTCTTTCCAGAAGCAGAACTTCACTTTTTTTTTTCATAATCATCATCTCTTACTTGATTATAGCCTGTCTCATGATAACTCATAAATGGCTTCGATCGTTTAGTGAGGAATAGAAGTGATTCTTGGGATTACTAGCACTCAGAAATGCAACCTTTTTCTTCTTACTGGTTTAACACAACATCTGAGATACTCCATAAAAGACAGCACTACAGAGCTTGTTTGGGGATTAACAGTTGGAATAAAAGCACACTTGCTTTCCTTTACAAGAGTATACAGTTTACTCTGTCTCCCAAAAGGACCTTTCTTATTTTGCTGTAGGGTGTTTCTGTCCTGTTCTGACTTTCCGTATATCATTAATTATCTTTTTTTCTTCTTCTTCTGAGTGTCTTTATATCATGGTTTAAGGGTCTTACTGGAGTTATAAACCCTTGGTTTAAATTGATCTTGTAGTCTCTGCCTAACTCTCTTAGGACTTCATGCCATATCATTCTTTTAAAATTGTTAAATTAATATTTCAAACATTCATGAAAGTATAGCAGATAGCACAGTTAATTTTCATACCCCTGTGCCTTCCTTTTCTCTCTGGTACTAGAGTTCTCAGCATTGGTCAAACAAGGGTTAAAGCCCATTGAACCTTCTGGCAGTTGGCCTGGGCCTGCTGGAAACTCAGTAGCTTTTGCACAGGGATGTATTTTTTCCTGGGGCTTTTCACAGTTTTACTCCCCAAGGGGAGGTATGCAGAAAGAGGACAAATGGACAGTGTTATCACTGCAGCTTCTCATGTGTACAATGGAATAATCATTCATTCATTCCTCCATTGCAGATGTGATCTTTGTTCTTAGAACTCACTCTTAGGTGGTGGAAATGCTAAATTAGTACAACAGAGAACAGAAAAGTAGTCTCTTTAGATTCTTACAAGAGGGAGAGAGGGCTTCCAGTTGGACATATCTGGGGAGGTTTTATGTAGTGGGTGAATCGAGACAGCCCTTGATGTGGATTTGGATATGAGGAAATGAAAAAAGTGACATCATAGACCCAGGTGTAGACTGTGAAGAGGAGCAGAGGTGAGGGGTGGTGTACATGCTGGGGGCTCCTGTATTTGAGAAGAGGAAGAATTGAGATGCCAAGTCAGGTTTCATCACTTGAGTTCTTTGGAAGACAAGTTCACCAGTATAACTATTAACATCCTATCAAGTAGAAGACCTGATAAACAGAATCTGCGAAACAGGATATGTGCACACTTGGACAGACACATTAAAGTTATACTGGCCACCTCACTAAACCCTGCTGCAGAGCTGCCACACAAAGATGTGTAGGTTATGCCCTATAAGAACATCCAGTGGAGTTGACAGGTGGGGCTTCAACCCAGCCAGACTGTGCCAGCTGACCTGGTGTGGGCCTGTTTCCACCCTGAGAGGCACCTTTTTCTAATTTGCCAAAGGCACCATGAGGGCTTAGATCCATTTTATTTTATTTCTTAATGTGTTCCATATCATAGCTAAATATTTAGTGTTTTACTATAATATAATTTGTTAAATGACTTCCTTTAGCCATCAGTAGGGACTCAGTCATCATTTTGAAGACTGGCTCTGTATCAGACATTTGCCGAAATTCAGGAGGACATGCTTGCTCAGTCCCATTTTTGCCTTCTGCTCTCTTTGTCATCAGCATTAGGTTAAATGCTCAGAATCTCTCCACTTTCCTCCATCTCCTTTAGGTGAGGAGGTGGCAACTACACTGCTTAGCCCCTACCACCCTGGGTGACCTGAGTTGTGCAGATCATTAGGCTTCTATCTCCACCTCTTCAGTGTTAGGTACTTCCTGTCTCTGTAGGTCTGTCTGGCACTGTGTCCTACTGTTAACTGCTGTCACTCCTGGGGCTTTTCACATGTTTATTCACCAAGGGGAGGTGTGTGGAAATGAGACAGATGGACAGTGTATCACTGCCCCCTTGCTTCTCTATCCCATTACCCCTCATGCCAGTTGGTTTAATGCTGGAAAGGGAGATATTCATTAATTGGAAGGAAAAGAAGGATTACAAATGAAAAAGAGACAGGAAAATTGGGATCCACATAGCTCTAGAGGGCAGAGTAATAATAATAAAAGCAACATTTGGTTATAGTGGGGCTGAGGGTGAAACAACATGGAGTGCATGTTTGGAGGGTGGGTGCATCTCTGGCACTAACAGGATGACCTTGCTTCCCTCAGGTGTCCTCATGACTTCTCTTGCGGACCATGTCCATGATCTTTTTTGCCAGTGTGGTACGGGTGAGGGATGGACTGCCCCTCTCAGCCTCTACTGACTTTTACCACACCCAAGATTTTCTGGAATGCAGGAGACGTCTCAAGACTTTAGCCTTGCGACTGGCCCAGTATCCAGGTCGAGGCTCTGCAGAAAGCTGTGACTTTTGTATACAGTAAGTGAACATATTCGCTTTTTCAGAACAGCAGCAGAATTTAGATTACTTTTTTCCATACATTGAAGTCACATTATGCTGATCACCATGTGTGTTAAGAGTAGATATGGTGTCAGATAGTGGTCTTAGGTTGTATGTTTACAACAATGGAATTAAGAACGGTTTGGGTGTCCTCAGGGCCTCAAGCATTGCTGTTCCAACTGCTGGCTTCTGTCAATGGAGTGCTCACAAGCATTGGAAGACCTGAGTTCAGCCAGTTTTTCTGGCTTTAGGTTGTTAGTTGTTTTTTGTTCCCCCTGTACTTAGATTCAGGGTAGGAAAAGGATAAGGAGGAAGAGGAGATGATAGATGAAAAATGTTAGAGAAAGCCAAGGAAATTAAAATACTTAATAGCTATTATCTTCAAGAGCTATTTTTTTAATTTTAATTTTTTAATATTTATTTTTTAGTTACAGGTGGACATAATATATTCATTTTATTTTTATGTGGTGCTGAGGATTGAACCCAGTGTCTCACACATGGTAGGCGAGCACTTTTATCTCTGAGCCACAGCCCCAGCCCCTCGTTTTAATTTTTTTACTTTAAAAATTCTTGTATTTTGGGCTGGGATTGTGGCTCAGTGGTAGAGTGCTTGCTTAGCAAGTATGAGGCACCGTGTTCGATCCTCAGCACCAAATAAAATAAATAAATGAACTAAAGATATTGTGCTCATCTACAACTAAAAAAATATATTAAATAAAATTTTTTCACATTTTAATTTTTATTATGTGACAGGATTCATGGAGTGAAAAATTAGTGAGTAGGTCTCTTGTTTTCAAACAACTTACAGTCTAATGAAGGAAGAAGAGAAATATATAACTGAACAGAATACAATGGAAAAAATCCCAGTGGAAGTAGGACTCAGGTGGTCATAATAATCCTATAACAGGTAATTGTGTGGAGTGCTTTCCATATGCCAGGCACTGTTCCTGTGCTTCCTGTGGCTTATGAGGCAAGCAGCAGTATTACACAGAGGAGGAAATTGAGGTTAAGCCACTTAACCAAAGCTGTACTGTTAGCAAGCGGTGGAGCTAAGATTTGAATGCAGGCTGTTCAGGCACTGAGGTCAGCTTCTCACATTTTATTCTAGGACTCAGAGCAAGAAGCCAATTATTTTGTGGAGGAATCAGGGGCAAGACAGGTTTTAAAATATCAAAATTTTATAGATAGTTATAGACACTATATCTATGTTTTGTAGTATTTAGTCTTCTTTTACCAAGTCCATTTTGCTTTTCTTGAATCATAGATTTTTAGTTGATCTGATAATATGGAGTCCTTTTAGGGTAATTCAGGTTTAGAATCATAAAAACAAAAGGGACCGTCCAGGCTAAGTGATGGTATCAGGTAAGAAGGTCTGTGTCCTGTCAGCAGTGTCAGATGGCCAGCACCTACAGCTGTCACTTTGTAGTGTGGACTGAGTGCTCAGGCACAAAAAGCTGAGCTGCATCTGTCCACATTTGCAGCTCCTTTCTCTGCTTGCCTGAAAGCACCTGCCTTCCTTGACTGGTCCTTCTTCATGAGGCTGTGATGAGCTAATGTGTGCTATGCCTCAGATAGGACACCTTTTCTCTGTTGAAGGTTATATTTCTCAGTAAAAAGAAGCCTACAGTTTCAGAATGAAATCTTGGGTGAGCAGTATCATAGCTTTTTTTTTTTTAATATATTTTTAGTTATAGATGGACACAATGTCTTTTTTAAAAATATTTTTAGTTGTTTATTTATTTATTTACATGCGGTGCTGAGAATTGAACCCAGTGCCTCACATGTGTTAGGCAAGCACTTTACCACTGAGCCACAACCCCAGCCCTGGACACAATATCTTTATATTTATTTATTTATTTATTTATTTATTTATTTATTTATTTATTTAATGTGGTGTTGAGGATCCAACCTAGGGCCTCATGCGTGTGAGGCAAATGTTCTACCACGGAGCTACCAATCCCAGTCCAGTATCATAGTTTTTTACAGTTGAAGGGTCATATTAATTTCTTAGGGCTGCCACAACAAATTAACACACACTGGCTTCAAATAGCAAAAAACAGAATCTCTTATAGTTCTGAAGGCCAAAAATCTGAAATCCAGGTATCTCAGGGTCTGCTCCCTCTGTAAGGCTTTAAGACTCCTTCCTATACCACTGCTATCTTTTGATGGTTGCTGGCAATCCCTGGTTTCCTTGGCTTACAGATACATTATTATTTCATTGTCTGTCTGCATGGTCACATGGCCTCTTCTTTCCTTCTGTAAGAGTGCCAATCATTGAATGGGGGCCTACCCTAATCTAGTATAACCTCATTTTATCCTGATTACATTTGCAAAGATGCTGTTTCCAGATAAAATCACATTCATTGGAAGTTAGGACTTCAGGGTATCTTTTTGGGGGACACATTCAACCCACAACAGGGGTCCTTTTTCATGTAGAAACACCTCTGTCCTAAAGAAGTTAGGCCCCTTCTGGAGAATTCCTTCTGACAAAAGGAGAGTCATCCTTTTCTTTAAGTTGAGGTCTTATGTAGAGACTTGTAGTTACAAAAGACAGAAAATGACAAGCCCCACAGTGGAGAACTTTGAGCAAAAATGATAATCCCCAAGGAGATATTCCATCATGAGCGGCAGCTAGTAGACATCCCAAATAGGTGAACTAGACCCCTTCAACCCCAAAAGTGAAATGATAGCATGGCAGTCTAAAAAGGAGTATAAAAAGAAGAAATGGAATTTTTTTTTTGAGTCCAGAATAACTCTAATACCACAACCAGATGAAGTCAGCATAGGAAGGAAAATTGTAGAACAGTCTAATTTTACATAGACACAAAAATCCTAAATAAAACATTATCAGACTAAACCTAGCATGTGATTAATAATGAATATGTAGAAATGCACAACAAGGATTTATTTCTGGGTGCCAAAGTGATTTAACATTAGAAGATGTGTTGAGGTAGATTAAAGTAGGAAAACATTATTCTCAGTGTAGAGAAGTTGGAGGCTAATTCTCCCTAATAGAAAATGCATCCCTCATGCATGCATAAGTGAGTAATCACACAGTGTTGGTGACTAATACTGTTAGACATTTTAAAGGAAGTCTTAAGAAAAACAATCTTAGAAACTGGTCTGGCTGAAAAGATAATATGTATGCCACAGGCAGCTATAAGACTGTTGGAGGCCAAGCAAGGGTAGAGGTGAGAGGAGGTTGTATCTGGGTATGGGGTGGGAACACATGAATCTGTTTCCTGGTTATGCAGATGTTGCCCTTTTATTTCAGTTTTTCTTCTTCTGGGGACCTGGCCTGCATGGCTATCTGCTCCCGCCAGTATCCAGCAGCCATGGCCTTCTGCTTCCTGGAGACCCTGTGGTGGGAATTCACAGCTTCCTATGACACCACCTGCATTGGCCTCGCCTCCAGGCCGTATGCTTTTCTCGAGTTTGGTTTGTAACCCTCTTTCATATTTACTGTTCTCTCCTGTGGCATTTGATGTGTAGAACTTACAGTTGAGGTTTAGCTTTGATCATATAGAAAAGCCCTGAGAGGCACAAGCACCTGGCTCTGAAAAAGAGCCTCACATCATGAGATTTCACAGCCATTAAAATGGACTAGAAGGCCTTCAGGTTTAATACTCTGGCTTTTCATGTCTTGGGAGCTGGGGGAGGTCGAGAAAGGGTGAAACCTCTGAAGCTGGGATCATCAAACTGTGGCCCAGAAGCCAGCTGCCTATTTTTGCAAGTAAAGTGGGACACAGTCATGTTCATTCTTTTATGAGTTGTCTTTGGCAGCTTTTGCCCCACACAGCACCATTGAGTTGTCCTGACAGAGACCACAGAGCCCCCCAGCCTAAAATACTGTTGGGTGCTTGAAGAAAGTTTCGCCAACCCCTACACTAGAGCAGTACTACTCAGAGTGTTCTTCTTTCATGATGTAAGCACAGAAAATGAGAAAAAGTATTCAGAAACTTACTGTAATTTGACATTCCTGTGATTTTAAAAATGGTATTTTATCAAAAAGTATCAGTCTGTAACATTTGGAAGTAAGAAAAGTATGGTCCTCCTCTCTTAACTTTGAGAAGCCCTGCTCTGGAAAGGATACTTCTTTTCTAGGCTCTGCTAGAAAGGTCCTGTGGAGGCTCAGGGGCTTTGGACTACAACATGATAATCATAGAGAGTGCTTGGTTTTTGTTAGTGTGGCTCATTTTGAGCTCTTGGGGTTGGGGAATATTCTGGATCGCTGTGATGCTCTTGAACAAGAAGCTGGCAGCATCTGATACGCGTGGTCAGGCAGGGGACGGCACCTGGAAATGCTGCCAGTTGGGCTTTCTGGCTGCTACTGTGATTGATAGCCTCACATTCCCTCTTGTTGCCTGCTGGCTTTTTAGAAATGGAACCAGCGCCCTCTTTTGGTGTCACTTGAAGGAACTGGGGAGCTTCCTAGTATGCCAGACCCACTCTGGTAGACCAGTGATAGATGGAGAGCTCTGGTTCTTGCTCTCTCTTGAGGCTTTCAGCCCCACTTTTCCTTTTGAAGAGAACACACTATTCCCAATGCAGACCACAGCTGCAGCAAGCCTTTGGCTCTCTGTTGATTTGGAGTGGAGTGGAGTGGAGTTGGATTCTTCTTTTCCCTCATCTCTGCATGTGCCCTTCTTCCAAAGCAGTGTGCTTGATCTGATAGGAGCCCCTTCCTTGGCACCACATTTGCTCACTATTGAATGGGAGTGGAAAGAGTCAAAGCTCATTGATATTAGAATTGTACATTATTTTGTTTTGTATAGCAAGTTTCACTTCAAAAGCTTGTTAAGACTTGGTGATAGAGTAACGTAAAAGAATTAAAATCAATCACTTTCAAATATGTAATCCTAGTTTGCACAACATATTCATTTTCACTTGTACTTTCAAACAAGCTTTTTTTTTTTTGAGATAATCAAGTTAGGAAAAACTGGCCCCATTTTCAAGGGTAGAGATGTTGTGTGAATCACCTAAGATTGTACTGTCTAAGACTCCAGCCCCTTTCCACTTGACACCCTTGTCACTTTTGTCCTATGATGCATTATTGCCTTCTCTGTAATTACTTTTTACTCATTCTACTTTGAAGAGATTGATCAGACTTATGTTGATATTTAATAATTATTTGACCTTGATGCATATATAACTTAACTCTTCAGAATCTGCCTGACTTACTAGCTTGCTTAGAAATGTGAACTTTGTACAAATGTTACTAAACATCCATTCTTATGAGAATGCTCAACTTGGGTTGCTCTCTTTTTCCAGACAGCATCATTCAGAAAATGAAGTGGCATTTTAACTATGTAAGTTCCTCTCAGATAAAGAGCAGCTTGGAGAAAATTCAGGAGGAGCTAGAGTTCCAGCCTCCAGTGGTTCTTACTTTGGAGGACACAGATGTGGCAAATGGGATGATGAACGGCCACATACCAATGCACTCGGAGCCTGGTAAGTGGCCTGATTTTCTCTGATATTGATGAATATGAAGTGATTCTATGTATTTCAAGTAGATTTTTTTAATATTAGAAATGTATACTTGAGATGGGAGGGTATATATTGGGAAGAAATCAGACTGATTCTGTTTCCAGGTGTTCATTATATAGACCTTGACAGTTCTGATCGTGGGTAGCTTTGAGAGGATGAAATTCAAGAGTTGAGAAGAGTGACTTGGGAGGTTGTTTTCTTAATTAGGGTGAAATCTGTAAGTTTAAATTTTGCAAATGATATACTTTCTCTTTCACTAGAAGCTACTCATTGAATCATATGGATATATATATATATATATATATATATTAATATTTATTTTTTAGGTGTAGATGGACACAACACAATACTTTTATTTTTATGTGGTGCTAAGGATCGAACCCGGGCCCCGCCCATGCTAGGCGAGCGCTCAACTGCTGAGCCACAATCCCAGCACGGATTTATACATATTTTTACCTCAGCACTTAATGAAATGTTGCAAATCTCCACTGAGAATCCCTGTGTACCTTCTTGGAGAGAGGGCTGTGGGAATGAATGTTTTGATAGGGGCCAAGGCTCCTAGTGCTATTGCTTGCTGTCTGGCTCTCCATGAGACCTGGAGAGCTCCCTCTGTCCCAGTGGATTTCACAGTCCTCATCTGAAGAATGTGATGTTAATGACATGATCACAGTGGCCCAGTACTTTGTAACTTTGGAATTAACACCATTAGCCACTTAGCACATAATGAAGCATGATTTTTTGCATTCCTAGTTTTGTAATCACATAAAGTTAAACTAATATTTAAAGTAGATATTTACTAAGGTATTCTAAGAATTCCATAATGGTGTAAGAGCTGAATCCCCTGAGAGATAGAGCTGTCTATACTGTAACAGTCTAATTATTTTGTTTTTAACTATTTTGTACTAAACTCATTGCTTGAATTTAAAAAGTGGTGTATTAAAAATGTTCATGTTTTTGGTTTAACATTGTGTTTTGGTTTAATATGTTTCAACCAGTAAGTTCTTAGATTGGCTCTCATGCCAATCAGTAAGTTGTTCTAATTTGTATTGGGAGAACATTTAACTTTTGTAGAAAGAAGACTGGGTAACTGAATCCCAAGTTTCTCCCTAAACACAGGGATAACTTTATAATATATGTTTTGTTTTTTAAACACTTAGATAAGAGGAGCAAATCCAGAAAGTGTCAGCTTGCCTTCTTTCTAGGACATTTTTACTGTGGTTTGACTCATCTTATTGTCCTGAGGCTAGATCTTTACAGGTAGCATGTTCTGTTCTAATAGGAACTTTGAATTACTCAGTGAAAACTCTAACACACTAACAATAGGCATAAGTTGTGTTGTGGCCAGGGGTATGAGAGTGTGTGTGGGTGTGGGTGTGTGTGTGTACATGCTCATGAGCACACACATGCACACGAGTGTGAGAAATGTAAGGACAAGAAAGGATGATTTTAGAAGAGCATAGCAAGAGAATGGGTGGGACACCATTTAATTGTGTGAACAGAATCCACTTCAACAGTTATCTTTCAGGAGAGAATGGAATATTTGTTCTAATTACAATTCCAGAAATAGCTTATAGCCTAAATAATCAATGTTTCCCTCCTCTTCCCTATTATTTTAGAATTAAAAACACATTTATTTGTCATCAGTCTCTTTAGATGCACACATTACCCTGAATATTGTCTTTATAAAAAGAGTGGAATATTTTACAAGCTGGGGGTTGAGGCATCTAATAAAAAGCCAGCCTTAGCAACAGCGAGGTGCTAAGCAACTCAGTGAGACCCTGTCTCTAAATAAAATACAAAATAGGACTGGGGATGTAGCTTAGTGGTTGATTGCCCCTGAGTTCAATCCCTGGTACACACCCCCACCAAAAAAAAAAAAAAATCTATCAGAATTTGACACCCAATACAAATAAAGCCATGGTCCTCTCTTATAGCAGAAGTTGTTTAAAATCATAGTTTCTCCATCTATGCTCGATTGACATATTTGTACCAGTCCATTCTTTACTGTTGGGGGCTAACCTGTGCATTTTAGGTTGTTTAGAAGCATTCCTGGCCTCTGCCCGCTGGATGCCAATAGAAAATGTCTCCAGACATTATCAAATATTCTCTGGGCAGCAAATCACTCTGTTTGAGAACCACTGCTCTAAATGGAAAGGAAATAGGCACTTGAAAACCTGCACTTGCCTATAAAAGGGCTTATTTCTGGAAGATACTCACCTCAGATTCCCAGGTCCATTCTGTCCTTCATTTCTTGCCTTTTTTCTTCTAACTTCTGCTGCTTTTAAAATTAGCATGTTTGTAATTTTGTGTTTAACATCATAAACCTGTTATTAGTGGAGGTCTAGTTAATGGCTTTGCTTGTCTTTCTTTCATATAGATGTTATTTTCTCTATAGACACTTATTTTTTCTTTTCATTGTGAAGCTCCTAATTTCCGAATGGAGCCAGTGACGGCCCTGGGGATTCTCTCCCTCGTCCTCAACATCATGTGCGCTGCTCTGAACCTCATTCGTGGTGTTCATCTCGCAGAACATTCTTTACAGGTAACCTCTTTTTTTTTTTTTAACACTTTAAATTGAAGGACACATCTAAGAAGAAACTAGGATATATTTTATTTATAAAGTTATTATGCACTGAGGTTTAAAATTTTTAAAATTCAAATGAAAATTAAAAAATTTTGTACTTTGTAGTAAGTTGAACATACATGGAAATTGCCTGCTGGGATATTAGTATAAAATGGACAACTCAATTCAAGGATATTGGACTACCTTGTTTTCCTTGGGAGTACAGGTGTCTTTCCAGGGCATAGATTATTCACCTATGGCAAACATTTGATTCAGACTTTAAGGTTAAGTCTCTTTTTGCCCTGGGAAAAGGTTGTCCTACAGTCTGATTTGTAAAGACCTGTATCACTAGGATAGGATAGAGTTCTTTGTTAGCCTGCTCATCTCAGAGCAACTTTCTGTTTCATTGTTCTTTGTTTTGTTACTGGGGATTGAACCCAGGGCCTGGTGCATGCTAGGCAAGTGCCCGACCACTGAGCTACATCTCCATCCATTTTTATTTTATTTTGAAATAGAGTCTAACTGAGTTGCCCAGTCTCACTTCAGACTTTTGATCCTCCTGCCTCAGCCTCCCAAGTAGCTGGAATTACAGGTGTGCACCATCATATCCAGCTCAATGCTTTTTAAAATATGTTTTTGGATTTTGAAGAATTTCAAAAACTTTTTAAAGGAACAGAATCACTATTAGTATAAGCAAATAGATATTGTTTTAAAAGATAGAGCTATAATGCTGGTACCTTCATATGTGGAGGCCATAGTCTAAAGTGCAGTGGATGTTGGACCTCAGAGACTGAGGAGAGTGTGGAGAGTGGCAGCAGGCCTGTTACCAGAGTGTATTTGCTTGATAACACATCTCATCTTTGACCAGTGTTTGGTGTGGTTTCCACTCTTAATTGTTTGATTATTAATAATCAGATATTTGCCAACTGTTTGTAAAACTAGAAGAGATGCCAATAAGATGGTTAAGACCTTGTCCCTGAGGACTCTTGTGGTACAAAGCGTAGTGTGGTGACAGCACTGAGGATGTGGCAATGGCTGGGGCTGGGAGGAATTAGAGAAATTGTGGTATTGACAAAAAGTAGGATTTTGAGAGGTGGAGTGATTGTGGGCTCAATACAGGTTGAGGACTTAGATCTGTGGGGACAGGAGGGCACATGGTTTATCTAGTTCATTGAAAATAGTTGCATGCCAGACCCTGATCTGGTATATAAGAGGGACTTAGGTCTCATTGTGCTGTCAGCCATACCACACTGAATGAGGGTTAAAAAGCTCCGGGTTATAGTGTTTCATCTAAATATTCTTTCCTTATGTTTCTTGTACTTATTTTAGGTTGCCCGTGAGGAAATTGGAAACATTCTGGCTTTTCTTATTCCTTTCGTAGCCTGTATTTTCCAGGTGGGTGAAGTGTTGATGGCCTTATTTGGTTGTTCTGGAATTATCGGCAAGTTTTAGATCCTGCTTTTGTTCTACCAAGGCCTTGGTTCAAATCCTGAACCGTACTAAGTGAAAGGATCTGTGGCCCATCCTGCCTAATTCTCTCATTTTAGAGGAGGAACTTTAGGCTCAGAAAGGGAAAGCCACTTTCCAAGGCCACAGGGCCACTGAAAACAGCGGAATAGGAACTAGGAATTTGGGTTTGATTCTCTAGAAGGGAGGGATGAGGTTGCAGGGTAAGGCAGGATGTTACCCTGTGTTCATTCTTGGGACAATTCAAGTGAATAAATATCCTTCTGTATAAGGAGCAGAAAGATGTGTTTTGTTTTGATTTTTTAAGTTGTTGATGGACCTTTTATTAATTAATTTATTTATATGCAGTGCTGAGAATTGAGCCCAGTGCCTCACACATGCTAGGCAATTGCTCCACCATTGAGCTACAACCCTGGCCCTGAAGATGTGGTTTTTAAACTTATGACTAAAAAACAAAAAAATTACAGGTTCTTTAATAGTAATACCTTCTGACTCAAATCTATCCCTAGGAAAATTAGTACAATAACTAGAGGGCTGGGTTATTATTTAGTTATTTTCATACCAGCTGAATACTTAAAAGGGGTAGCATGATAAGGAGCTTTTGCATTCCTTGTAGGCAGAGTTAATTCTAGCAAAAACCCAACTCAAATTCTCCATCCTTGATAAAATTTTAATACTTTCTTTACATTCTTAAGCTTTTTTTTTTGCTTTTTAATTAAAATTTCTGGCTGGGCACAGTGGGGTGTTCCTGTAATCCCAGCGGCTTTGGAGGCTGAGGCAGGAGGGTCCCAAGTTCAAAGCCAGCCTCAGCAAAGGCGAGGCACTAAGCAACTCAGTGAGACCCTGTCTCCAAATAAAAGACAAAAAAATGGCTGGGGATGTGGCTCAGTGGTTTAGTGCCCCTGAGTTCAATCCTTGGTACCCCTCCACACCCATGGGGGGAAAAAATGTCTGTTCTCAGGACACATCTTAGAATTTTTTTTTTTCAAGAATTACTTGATTGTGCCAAAAGAAGCTTTCAACCCTAGATTAAAAATGCACTCACTTTTTAGGAATCTGGTCTCTAAAACCTTGGGTATAGCCAGCAACAGTTTTCTAGAGCTGGCATTTCAGGGCTGCAGGGACCTTACAGTTCCATCTTCATTCCTTCAGCTGTGCTCCTATCCTGAATCTCTCTTTCTCTCTCCCCTGCTGTAGCTTAAGCCCTGTTGATTGCTTCATGATCTGAGAATATGCTTTATTTTTCTTAAAAAAAGAACAAAAAAACTCTTTCCAGCTTTTGCAGAATAAGAATAGCCCCTTTTCTGTGAGGTCACCCTAAATGAAATACGTTACTCTCTCTTTTGGGAGAACTTTCTCTGACTCAGAGATGCTTTTGAAGATGTGATTAAAAAAACGTGCCCAAGGGAACTGAGGTTGTGACTCAGGAGAAACCAAAATAGTAAAATCATGACTTTCACCGGCTTGCTTGCCTGTCATGGCTCCCTGAAGAAAAACTTCCCTCGGAGGCTAGTCAGTCCTGCTGGGAGACCCTGGCTATCTGCCCACTCCCCACAACCCTCTCCCTCTCCTCCGCAGCCCACAGCCTGGATACCATCTTTTATGTCTTCAGCTTCTTTCCAGCATTCCTTCTGTCAACATCTGTTTCACTTTCCTCTTTTTCAAATCCTGTCTTTCATCCAAAGATCAGCAGCAGCCTAACCAGGAAGTTCAAGCTTCACTGTAGTGAATATAATTTAATTAGTGAATGCATGTGAAATGATGCTGTTGGTGGCACCTGCAGGAGGTGACTCTTGCACCTAATCTTGTGGCTGTTTGATTATCTCTGATTGGTTGTGTTGTGTGGTCTCGTTTCAGTGTTATTTATACCTGTTCTACAGTCCAGCCAGGACTATGAAGGTGGTGCTGATGCTGCTCTTTATTTGCCTGGGTAATGTGTACCTGCATGGGCTGAGGAACCTCTGGCAGATCCTTTTCCACATAGGAGTTGCTTTTCTGTCTTCATACCAGATACTGACAAGACAGCTTCAGGAAAAGCAGTCTGACTGTGGAGTGTGAGGACACCATGGATCCTTTGATTTTCTTTGGAGAGTCAATCTGTGTTTCCCTTCTTGCTTCTCCAAGTTCACCTCAAGTTTCCATGCTTAACGTTCCTTTCAACTAAATTGGACTGAAAAGCCGAGATTGGGGATTTCTAACAGGTGCTGTGGAAATCATGAGGTCACTCAATACCCACCTGGTCTTGGTTGTGTGCTGAGCATCATTGCAGAACCTCTAGTTGAGCATGTTTACTTAGGACAGCAGAATCCGAGGGCTTACTCAGAAGGAGAATTATTGGAAGATCAGAATGGAAACATTTTGGTCTTTTAAATTAAATGATACAAAAATAAACTACTAAATTCAATAATACTAGTTTTAGTAATTGGCAGTTGTCTCCAAGCAACTACTTTAAAACGTAAATAGTGTAAATGTGACTTGGTTAGTTTTTTACAGAGGGTCAGTACAGGGTGAATTAAAAACTTAAACATATAGTTCATGGATATAAGCTAGGTAAATTTTGTTTACATTTTTGATAACTTAGGTTTGATATACCATTGAAATATTTAAATATATTTTGGATATAAACTGAACTTCATTTAGGGTGAAGACAAAAGTAAGCCAAGAAAATGGTTAAGAAATCTGAGGTCACTTAATTTATAGATAACCTTTTATGGTGGTGGGACTGTGGGTACAGAAATGTTGTATATTTATTTGCAGGGTATATCAGAATATTTTTATCAGAAAATTAATTGATTAATCAATACTGTTGGATCATAAGCTTATAAGCATGAGCAGACCTGAGAATTTCTGGATGCCTGACAATTGACCACAAAGTGGAGTAGGCAGATGGTGTGGATTCACATACTTCCCAGCCCCAGTTGGCAGAAACTCCTGGCATCAGCCTTTGAAATAGCAGCTGAATGCCTGTCATTTTAATGGTGATGACTATGTGATCCAGTGTGCCTCTTCCCAAAGGCCCCCAAGTTAATTACTCCTCTACATCTTTCCTGATAATCTTACTTAGATCAAGAACCTCATTTTTTTTTATTAATAGTAATGTTAACTTTTTAAAACTTTATTAAGCTATAACTGATATATGGTCTGGAAAGTTTATTTCATTGTCAAAAAATTGATTGGTCATCATTTTCCTAAGTATAGCTCAGAATGAGATCCATCCTTCAAGTCTCCAGAAATTTCAGCCTGGGTTGTCAGGCTCAAATGGCCCAGGAGGTTATTTGGGAGTTTGCTCTTTGGTTGTTTTGGTAGAAGTCTGGAATCTGAATAACTCAACCACAATTGCATGGAATACTTTGGGTTGAATTATGTAACTTGATAAGCTAAAATTCTATTTTGATAGTTTTTAAAGTAGAAAACCATTGTGAGAGTGATTGAGTTGGTGGGGAAACAAGAATGTAGTTTTAGAGAATTCAGATTTGGTTATTATTGGTATTGTTATTGAGCTACCTTGGTATCATTTTAAGAAACACAAGTTTATATGACGCTGAACTGGATTGGGAAAATGTTGCCATAGAAACTTTATTTTCTTATAATAGAATTTTCTATTTTTAACCAACTACAAAATATCTGGATATGAGAAGTATATGGGCAGCATCCTCAGACATAAACTTCAAGGTTATATCTCCATTGACTTTGCATCTTCAAAATTTCTACATACCTGACAGATAAGTTTTCAGTTTTCCTGGGAGATAATTTTGAAGAGGCAGTTAAGATAGAATGGGAAGTCCAGAGGAGAGAAGAATCCTTTTAAATTAAAGCACACACACACACAAAGCTTTAAAATTTGATAAGAAACAGCTTTAAAATATATTGTTTTTGAGCCAGTTTTATGTTGGTGATGCTGTGTAGCCTGCACCCCATGTGTTTTGGGTCTGAGACTGTGATGCCCATTTAACAAGCAATAAAAAAGCAGTCCCTGAAGATGAACCCTTGTTGGTGAAGCTCTGCGCCCACCCACCTGTACATCAGTTGAGATATTATCTATACTTGATTGAATGTGGTTTTAATCAGGTAACATCTAGATGGGGTTTGAGATTTATTTTTTCAGACATAAGGAAAAAGGTGTACTAGAAGAACAGTGTAAATAATGACCACAAGAACATTGTTTAACTGAAATCCCGCTAAAAGACACCTCAACCTGCTGGAGGGAGAGACTAATGACAGGAAAGAAGTCTGGTGATTTCCTCCAAGGGAAATCCCAGGATTGGGGTTGACTTAGCTCAGACTTGGAAATTTGTAGCCCTTTGTGTGATGCTGATGACAGAAAGCTGGTTCCACGTCCCAGGAGTTTTCTTTAGTCTACCACGGACCCACTGCTGTTCTGGCACCTTCACTGTCCCAGCATTTGATGCTACTCGCCTAACCATCTCATGGGGCCAGATCTAGGGACAAAGGAAGCAGTACTGAAAACAAAACCTTAATGGTGTCTTCTGAGATCAGATGCTGTGAGAGCTTGAGCTTCAGAGAATGTTATATCTCTCTGTAGCACCAGGGCAGGAGTGTGGCTCAGTGCTCTTAGGCAGGATACAGAAGATTCTGTTTTACTCTTCTTGTGGTTGGCCTTATTGTGCTGGTGGAGACAACTGGGGCCCATTTGGGGTGGCATTCCCTCTCAGTGCTAGCAGTGTGACCATAGACACCTGATTTTGCCTCTTAGGAGTGCACCCATTATCTGTGAATTCTGTTGACATGCCCTGGGGAACATAGCCCAACATTTTCAAGTTCCTTAAGGGATGGGGGAAAGGGTTTCTGGAGGAGTGCCGAAATAAAAGCAGTTAGTCATTTCAGTAGGCCTTACCCCTTAGCTCCTCTATTCTTTCTTAGGTGCTCTGATTCTCCAACTCCCCTGCCTTTTTCCATCTCTGCCTATTATACTCCAGACCTAGGGATAGAGGTAGAACCAGAGTCTCTAAAGAAATAGTAAAGCCACTGAATTATGATTGAGAGGGTAGGCAGAGGGACTTCATAATGGGAACAGACTGCATTGAGGCTAGCCCTCTTAGCCTGTCTGAGAGTCAGGCCTCAGGGAGGATTAGTACTTTGGTGGTCAGCCCTGCTCAGAGTCAAAGATGATGGCTAACAGGCCACAAATGGCTGTTTGGGACAGGGGAATTAGGGGAGCTGAACTGAGGGCTCTATTGTCTGCTGGAAGATAACAGCCACCCCTTGGCATGCAGCGGGTGCATGTTGCACCTTATCAAGGGATGCCATTTGCTGCTCCTTAACTAGGAGTTGACTGCTAGTAACATGCAGGACAGTGGCTCTCAGATAATCTGCTATATGCACAGTCTAGCACAAGTGAGGATAGGGATGGGAGTGATTACTGCAATCAGATGTGCCCAGCAAACCCTGCTCATCCATTGCTTATATTCCAGAATCCCAGGCAGAATTCTGCACAGGTATGGGGAGCTCTGCCTGTGTACTCTGACTGCTAATAATAATGGTAGAGGAAGAGTATGTGGACATGCCCTCAAGGGATGAGGCATTGGAAGATGTACATTGATCCACTGACCAGATGGCCTTGAGATTGGCTTGGCTCTTCCACTCAGTCCTACATCACAGTGGAAGTCCCTTGCCTGTCTGGCCTCAGTTTTCTCTTCTGGGAAATGATGAAAACATCAATCTGCAATCCTGTATGCTGCTGTGAGAATCAGCAGTGGTAGTGGAGGGTAATACTAGGTGATACATTGTTCATGTGCAGGAGGAGGAGGTCTTTGAGTCAACCTGGTCCTGTAGGCTCTGGGTGCATTAGGCAGCTTGGCACAGCCGTGTCTTCTGACCTTTGCAAAAAGGCCTTTTATGAGACTGCAGTGCAAAGGACCTCATTCTTTCATTCCAGAAAGGTCGTGGCCTCTCTTCCCTTGGACCTCCTGCTTCCTAGGCACAGAGCTCCTGGTAGCATTGGCATTGGGTTTACTCCAGGATCTAAGGAGGCCCATTCTGTTGGTTGGACCAAACCTCAGTGTCTGTCACCAACTCAAATTAGCAGACCTTTAATTCTCCTATCTGGGAACAGTGATATCAAACTTCTGTTGCTGGGGAAACCTCATCAGCAGGGAACGTGTGGAAAGGGGCTTGTTGTTAAAATCTGGGAATGGTTGGATATGGAAACATCTGCCCATGTGTACTGATGTCAGAGCTTTGTCTCACAAGCGCCTTTTATTTTAGGGTAAAATTATCAAACCCATTCTGTTCCTTTAACTTGTGTGTGGTACATATGACCTTTAGCCCTTACATTTGTATAATTCTGGGATTGCTTCAGAAGTATTAGCTAATGAATTATTAATATGACTTAACCCCCAGGATTCAATTTTATTTAATGGAATTTTCTACTAAGAGCATAAAAAATTGAGGCTGATCTAGCCAGGGGAAAACCATTTATCTTACATACTCATTTCCAGTATTTGCTGTCCTTGTCACACAAGCTTCTTACTGTTTTCATGTAACAGCAAAGATCTATTTTGAGTACATCATGGGTACATTTTAACAAACTTTCACATAGTGATAAAACCTAAACTCATGTCAGTGTACATACAGAATGTTGTATAGCCATTTATATACTATGTATATATAAATTAAATGAGGTGGTTTCAGAAGTGGGAGAATAAATCTAAGGTGTTTATTAATGTGTGTATTTGTGTTTGTACTGTATGAACAATTTGGAGATGTAGGTCCTTTTTCCTATGTGGTATTAGGTGGGCCTGATGAATAGGAAGGGAGTATTGAAAGAAGTGACATTTTGGTTTTCTTGTCCAGTGACGTCTGGACAGGTACAGTTTTTCGCAGGAGTCCCCAGCCAAGACAGCAGTCACAGTGCTGCCTTGGGGGCTGGGCTGCCTGCCTTTTCTGCAGACTCTGTCCCCACCTGCTGTGTGTCCATAGGCAGGCATATCCCCTGCCCTGGGTTCTGGGCTTCTGTCTGCACTGAGGGTGATGGAAGTTTTCATCTTCTGGGACCAACCTGGTCACAAAATGACCACCAGGAGGCGCAGCTGCTGGCCTCATCATGGGGTTCCCAGCCCAGAGATGGTGTCCTTTTACAGACGCTTTCCTGCAGCAGCTGACAGAATTCCCAGAAAGGAAGCAAGTGCGCCATCCTCTCCTGACCATCTTCCGTTTAAACATGGGGCTGGAAGTTCCAAGTATCCCTACTGTATCTATCTTGAGCCCAGTTCTTTTGGAGAAAGGCAAAGCTTCCAAAATAAGTATCAAATTATTAGATTTGGGATTTGAAGGTTAGCAAAGCCTTGTTGCTCAGGTGGGGAAGAAGAGACTTGTCCCCTGGGCTGGAACAAGGGACTGCACATAGCTGGCAGCATTCTCAAAGAACAAAAGGGAATCTTAGCCCAT